ACTTATAAATTGTCAAATTTTATCGATTTTATTATTCTATATTTTTTTATATTTTTTTTATAACATCCTACCACTACTTCTGCTTTTGTTTTGTAATTACAAGAAAGTCTATTGTGTCCGACTTCTGCGCACGGGTCTCTTTTATTCTCTCGTTCAGTCTAATTAGCTTTCTATTCTGTCGAAAACAAAGTTCGAGATTGATATGCGCCGCCTCGTAATTTTAGGTTTTTGCGATTATTATATTTTTTGCATTTTTTTCGGATCTAAGACTTTTCCAAACTTAAGGTCTTTTCAGCATCAGCGTCTTGCCAACGCACGCACAGCGGCCACAACGTCGACACGACGTTCGCGCGGCGGATACCCGATGTACGGCACTATTCTACAGTCGCCCTTTGCTAGCGTTGCGTCGCCGCTAGAGATGAGAAAAACTGCTTATTTTCAAAAACGTTTTAACGTTATAGCTTTTTAAAAAAGCATACTTTTTTATAAGCTTTTCACTTAAACGCCTTTTAATTTGAAGTGTAAAAAATCGTTTAGAAAAACATTTAAAGCGCATAGACTTTTATGATTTAAAAAAAGCTGGCAACGTTGTGTTGATAGCAAAAAGCAATAGACTACTATAGGTTTTAGGATGAGTAACTTTATTTGTAAAGCACGAGTTTTATTTTTATTTATAAAATTATTATTCATATTGACGAATTCATTTGTTTAAGAAACATAAATGGCGGGACTTGCAACTTACGCACGTTGTAAAAAATGAAATTGTTGAACATAGAACTGACTAACAATTACGCTTAAAATAAAAGGCATGCTTATGTGCTTATTTAAAAAACAAACTTTTTTAAATGTTTTTCGTTTAAACGCCCACCTTTAGTCGCCGCCGCGCGGCCGCCGTATCTTAATAATGTCCTCTATGGCCGTGTCGACGCTATGCGTACGTTGCGAAGATCCTGTGCGTGCTTTGGTAAAACGCAGACGCCTATCGTATATTTGTCAAACAGCAAAAATTTCATTTTTTAAGTAAATTTTAGAACAAACTATCAAAAATAACGAAAAAATCTTAGGTGCCAATTTCGCCAAAATTATGGTCATGGTTGACACGTTATTGCATATCCGCATCCAATTAGAACTACATGCTGCATGACGAGCATTGGACAAGAGCCAGGAGAAAAAGTGGAGAGGGGTGTTGCGGTGCGATAGTGCGGTATGCTGCGGCGTCGGAGTAAAGCGCAGACCACACAGCGAACGAAGCTATGCTAACTTAGATTAGTTCACGTAGGTAGTTGCAGGCTATCCGTCCGGTTTTTGAGAACTGGATGGACAGGGCGCATGGGTCCTTGACTTTCCGGCTGGTGCAGGTGCTTTCCGGGCATGGTTGCTTCGGAAAGTACCTGTGTCATATAGCGCGGAGGGAACCGACAACCGAATGTCACCATTGTGGCTGCTGTGAAGACACGGCACAGCACACGCTGCAGGTGTGCCCAGCCTGGGCCAATGAGCGCCGTGAACTTGTTGCCGCAGTGGGGCACGACCTGTCACTCCCTGCAATGATCAAATCAATGCTGGAAAGTGACAGGTCTTGGATGGAGGTAGTATCCTTCTGCGAACACGTAATGTCGCAGAAGGAAGCTGCGGAGCGGGAGAGGGAGGCTACCACCCTTCTTCCAATCCGCCGCAGGAGAGCAGGGCGTCGGAGGAGGCACTATCATGCCCTCCTTCAACCCCCATAATAGGGATTTTGGCGGTGGACGCGGGGGCGTCCGCCGCCCGTAATGTATAGATCCCGAGGTGGCGCGCGCGGTGTTCCTGCGTGCCCCTGTAAGTGTTGAATGGGGTGATGTTTCTCCAGCTCCACCTCAATGGGAAGGGGCTCTCGGCCGAGGGCCAGCGCCGTCGGGACCGCGGAAGAGTGCGAAAGCGTTCCCGTAGTCCCGGCAAAAGGTGCAGGGACAGAACACCGTGGGGTTTTAGTCGGTAGGAGTCCGACATGATCTCTCTGTTGCCCCCGCAGCAGAGAGATATCCAGGATTGATTGATCCATGAGGATTTCCCCACGTAAAAAAAAAAAAAAAAGGTAGTTGCATGCAAAGCTAAGCTAAGACAATATGCGCGCGAGGAACTATGACAACACTATTGATAGCGGGGTTGAAGGGCGGCAGAAGGGCGACATATTTTACATAGCTTAGCGGAATCGTTGGGTTAGTTTAGTCTTAGCTTAAGTAGCGTTACGTTGCGACACCGCATTGCTCGTGGGGCATTCGATGCGTTGAAATCATAGCGTTGCGACGACGCGACGTAATGCCACGAAAATATCGCCACGCTTGAAGCGTTATTCGCTGAGAGTGTTCATTTTAAAGCGTCAAAATACACCCACGTTGGTAATTTGCTCTTCGGTGGTGGGAGGAATACTTCAGTTCATTGCCATCACGCGTCATCATTACACGTGAAAATGTCGCTGTCAAAAATATCTAAATATTGTTTTGAAAGTAGTATTTTTTTTCACAAGATATTGTTAATTTGCGACAAGGAGTACACTATTTAAACAGAGAAAGAATACAATGTGGTGAATTTTATGACATATATAAAGATATTGGACCGTTATAAATTCATAATTAAGTAAGCGAAAAGCAAAAAAAAAAACAAAATAATTTGTTTTAAACGCTGACGCGCGGTGCGATCTTTTCTGTCGGGAATCATCCAACGTTCGTGCAAACCCGGTCGTAACGAAATTCGCTGCAAGTTGCAGCGCTACTTTGTGGCCTTTTACAATTAAAATCATATATTTGTAATTGACGCTCGACGCTAACGCTTGTAGCGTCAAGCGAATTCGCTAGGAGCGTCGCGACTGGTGACACTCGGGTTACGTTCCGACAATGCTCGTGTGGCATCGCTCTAAATCGATAACTTTTATGCATATAATAATATAGTTATAAAATTTCACATTGCGTATTATTACATATTAGGTACTTCGTATTATTTCTATGACGTATATTCACGTAGTTCTTTTTTATTTCAGTTCGCCGATGTCCCAGCCAAAGTTGACACGTCTCCGCCAAAGCTGGACAAAGAGACAAACTGGAACATGTTCCAGTCATGGGTAAACCGATGGCAACGCAACAACGCGGATAATCTGGCTTTGGTGTTAGCGATTAAGAGAAACCATTATAACCGGGTACGGCATATAACACCTTGGTAGAAATAAACACCGCGAGAAAAAATATTTTATATTTCATTCAGTCCATATACCAGAACAGAAAAAATCATTTTTCAAATTGGTCCTACTGAGAATCCAACCCAGGACCGTGAGTTGGTGGAAAACTGCCTGCATTGCAAAATATTGGGCCACTGGTGTCATGAATGATCGGTCCACTAGGTAGAACTATTTTTTATTATTATATTTCTCTATTATATTATTATACCGTGTGCCCTAATAAATACTTCCAATTGAACAGATGTGAAATTTAAAAAAAGATCTTTTTTCTTATTCATCACGAAAAAGACGTCCGTCTTTCTGAATTGACGCCACTTTATACAGGGTTATTTTTAAAATACTAACAACCTCGCTGGACTATATAACTATACTAACATCATCATAAACAACAACTTTTGAATGTGCCATGTTTTTTAATAGTTTGTCATATTTTACTTTGTTTACAAAAACAAAAATATTTAAATATAACGCTCTAAACCATAAGTTCCCTAACCTTTATATCATCGCCCCCTTAAGCAGGATAAAAAATCTCAACGCCCACCACCACAAAAAATAATTGAAAAAACTTTTTTATATTAATTTCTCACAAAAAAAACGCAAGAAAAAGTTTATTTATATGTAGTGTAGTTTATATAGATGAATCAGTTTTTTTTATCAAATGCGGTAGAAACCTCTGGACAACCCCCCAATTTCTTCCGAGGCCCGTACCGCCCTCTTAGGTCTCTTTAGAGCCCGCCATGGGCGATAGGTTCCGCCTTGGAGAAACTATGCTCTGAACGGTGATTTAACTCTGTGTTATGATATAACACAGTCCGATGCAAAATGCAAGAGCAGGTGGGGACATGTTTGGCGTCGTGGTGAATGTTCACTGATCCCACGGCGCCGACTCAATCGGCGAGAGGGAAACCCGGGGGGGTTTTAGTGGGGTAGGCCCTCCAGTCTGCAGGGAGAGTCCCCACATAACCCCTGAGCCTCCCTGGGCTCAGGGGTATCCATAAAGATTTCCTACCCGTAAAAAAAAAAGGTGGGGACATGTTTACTGCTACTACTAAATATAGATCTAAAAAGTCTCAGATAGTACAAAAATTTTAAAGGTTTCCTTTTGGTAAACTTACAATGTTTTGCAAGATCTCATAGAAGAAAAATTGTTGTTCATTATGATGTTAGTGATATAGAACTGTGAGGTTGTTAGCGTTTTAAAAATAACCCTGTATAAAGTGGCGTCAATTCAGAAAGACGAATGTCTTTTTCGTGATCAATAAGATTTTTTTTTTTTAATTGTAGATCTGTGCAATAGGAAGTATTTATTAGGGCACACAGTATAATAATATATACGGTATAGTATACGAGATTTTTTAGATAATTAATTCTTCGTAATAGAACAACACAACTTGTTACAAATCCAAAACAATAGAAATGTCGGCACCATTCTTCCTCTCCGTTCTACCATTCACTCATTCATCTACTTCACTCGCGTTAATCACTCATATCCTACCGTTACATTCATAATAATGTTAAATTGAGTTAACTGCATTCGGTGTGAAATGTTCTACATATTTTCAGGGCAAAGTAGACTGTCACTGGGACTACACACCACAACCGTACATGGTATATTACTACACGCGAGTCGACTTTCTGTCCAGGATAAATTTCGAGAACAAGTTTATTTACGACAGGATAATTACAACTGTGAGTTGCTAACAACGTCGATTACTATCAAAATTATTATACTGTTATATAGGCCCTTTTGGGTCTTTTTCCTCTTTTATCACCTCCTATAATAAATCTTACGGACCGAGCCTTCTGCATTCTCATTTCGCAGAGGCTAGTGTTACGGACACCGAGCCTGCGTCTGCACTCTAGCATAGTTACTAGTTGAAAGACCAACAATTGTACTTAAGTAGGAACATTTCAGAGAGCAATAAACGTAGTCCGATCCGAGTAGATCCTGAGAAGAGCAAGAACCTGAACGAGTACAGTCCATTGACCTAGAAAACCGAACATCTTCGATCCTACGAGAGCTGAATCATCAACAATAGCTAGACTACAACTGTAGACGGAATTCTCATAATATTTTTATTCTAATCTACAGAACCCGAAAGTCCAAACCACAGCCAGTCTCATGAAAGACTGGGAGCGGAATCGGCGAGATATTCTAGAGCGAGCCGAGAAAAAATTCGTGCTTTTCCCTCTCGTGCCTTGCGAAGACATGGAAGATGTGACTTTTGCTTCGCCGAAGGGGGTTAAGAGACCACGGTAACGGCTGACAGTTCTGAATGAGCGTCTTTTTCCTTTCTTCTTATCGTATCTGTTGGGTATCCTTGTGTTCTTCAACAAATTCTTCCTGAAACTTAGGAATGTGTACTGTATTAACTTTGATGAAACTTGTTTGAACACTTTATCACTATGGCCATCTGACTTACAAGTCGAAGTAAGAACGAAGATTGAATAATACGTAATGAATAATGCCAACCGAATACAACTCTTATTGGCGTCTTACATATTTGCCGATATGGTGTCTCCTACACCGTACCGGCCCTATTAATGCGCTGCGGACGCCTCCCAGCCAATCAGAGCCCTCGAATTATTCAGTCGCATTTGCTCCGTTCGTCCTTAGCAGTATGAAGGTACACTGTAATGCTTGCCATGGTGGTGAAAGGGTTTCATTTACTCACTAATAAGCTTTTCGGAGAAGAAAAACATCGTGAATAAATCTGCAAAGCAATTTAATGATGTGTGTCACGTCGAATCCTCTTTGGACCTGTGACTGCGTCGGAACTACAGCTCAAGTCCACTCATTGCGAGAGTGGGCCTATGCTCAGCTGTCGGAGTATATATCGTTTGCGTTTCATAGAAAGAACAAAGGCGCCATTTCGAAAAATTTTTCAGGGGAATAAGTTCCCCAACTGTTTTAAAGTATTTATGTGGCTGTTTTGAAATTCAATTTTAGTTACAATTAAGTTTTAAAATTGAATTTAAAATAGGACGTAAGTATCGAAAAACAGTTGTAAAAAAGCAAAACATTCCAAACGCACGCCCTTCCTACAAAACACCGACGATATTATATAGGCTAACTATTATATTTTAAACGGAGATGGGCTGTGGGTAAAAATCAAGCCGCTCGGATGTTTACCCATTCCTGCCCAAAAACGAAACCAAAACGAATTTGGTACAATTCCATACTTATTAGAAATTTCGATGTAAAAAATCCTTTTTAGACGAAAAAGAGTCAACTCCACACAATACACAACTTGCAATCCTGTAGATTCTCGCTTACATATGCACATTACGATTCGATTTTCGTGAAAATCGATTCAAATAAGCCCCAGTATAATCAGTTCTTATGTGAATTATTTTATTTCATTTTAATTATTTTAGTTGTTCCATAATAAAACTTTCTCCATAATGATCGCCTTGTCAGCATACCATCATTCGTCTAATCTTGTTACGATTCCCTCGTCCTCGCACACTCACATCCCCTCACATAATTACATGCACAACAATCAACCACCTACATTATACACACACACACACGCGCGCGTACATTTACATATATACTTACACGCACATATACACAAACAAATACTAACACTGCACAAACAATATTTTTCCTTTTTATTTTTTTTTATTCCTTTGTAAACTTGTAATAAGTAAATAATTTAAATGGATAATTTAGTTATTGCAATTATCAATTATCAATGTTTTTATGTATAGTTCTTGTAAACGATAAGAAGTTTTCGTATTAATTCATTTCAATGCGACTTTCAAGCGAATCGATTGAAGACAAAGGCAAAATATGTAAGCAAAAAAATTAACAGTTTGTATTATAATAATATCATTAGATTTGAACAAATCTCTTTACAAGTAAATAGTTGTAAATAGTTTTTGCCCTCCATTTCCGGCTTAATCCGGGTTAATGGTTTTAATGGCTCTTGCCCATCTCTGATTTTAGTATCTACCTGACAATATCGCATCACAAATGCTCGCCAATGGGAGAGCTGCAAGTGGAACTCTTCACAGACGTTTGTCCGCAAACGTGTGAGCTCTTCACTGAGCTTTTGATGGGCGATGGCCTGGGCTATGGATACGTTGGAACTAGTTTTTTCAGGTGAGAATGATTTTCAGATTTTAATGGCTCGAAAGACAGGTTTAACATACCCAATAATAACGCGCACTCTCTTAGCCCCGCACTAAAGAAACCCTGTACCGCTGGTGCACATATATACACACACCACAAATTATACAACGAACTCTCGAAAATAAATGTAGGCCATAGAAATGTTAGCAGCAGTAGAGCTCCTTGTGAGAGTTCGTCCAGGGAAATACTTGCCACCTTACCTATTTCTGCCGCCAAGCAGTAGTGTTAGCATTACTGCGTTCCGGTTTAGAAGGGTAAGGGTGCTGGTAAAATTATGGGCACATGGGACTTGTCACCTTATGTCTCAGAGTGACAGGCGCAGTGGTAGTGCCCCCTCAGATCTTTGCAAATTAAAGGTCTGAGTGGGACTGTAACTGTTATGGACAGGCGTGTAGCTTACCATCAGGCGCACGAATTGTTTGTAAAAAAACCTGGCCCTTGATAGTATAAAAAAAATTCTCTCGGCCCGGGAATTGAATCCGGGACCTCTGCGTGAAATGGGAAAAAAACCCAGAAAATAATTTCGACATTGTCCTTGTCTACATTTTATACGATACCCCTTCTTTACCTTTGGTTATTATGGTACCACGTGCAATTCAAAATATGCAACAAGAACAAGATGCAACACGACATTATGATGTCCATACTGCCACAGACTAATAAGAGATACTACGTATTGTTACTAGGTATGACGGGTACTTCGAAACAATTGACGGGTGTCGTCAATTGTTTCACTTCAAACTACCAGTTTAACTTGAACTTTCCTATAATGAACGGGAATTGCAAAATTACATATCTAATATTTAATTACCGATGAAATGTGATTCCGTTTGTTTTGTAATTAGATGTTTTGCTGTTTTTCCCACATCACCGTGTGGAACAGCCCCATTGTTAAAGATATTATCTTTATTACAATAAATACAGAATATTTTTGGAATATACGGAGACGTACACACAGGTCTTTTGTTGGCGCTGTACTATTTCAGCTTTCTAATTTGTGATTTCAGTGCAAACGAGAGTTGATATTTAAAAGTGATATAAGGCCCATTTGCCTGATGAGTTGCCAGAGACGGATGGCCCTTATTTCGTCTTTATTTCTGGTATATACTCGATGAAAACCATTGAGCTAACGGTGAACTTAGCCTTTGCTATAATTTATATTTCACGTAATTTTGGGGGAAATGTCGATACGTCGTTGTCGGTTATTGTTTAAAATATCATTTGCAATAAAAGTTGGCGGTCGTGTCTCGATATAGTCATGTGAGGTTGTTAGTAGTACTTTACAAATAGGTCTGTATAGATAAATAAAAACTTATCTACAATAAAAAACTGTATACCATGTACCTACTTTTTTAATGACAAAATGACAATGTCAGTGCAACATCAAAAAAAATGTTAAAACTAGCTGTTTACTTCGTAATTTTTTTTATTGGCATTGCATATTTTGCGGTTCTTTACATTTACTACCTCACACTTCGGAAAGGGGTTAGGGCACTGAACGAACGATAGTATTTAATTCAAATTGGTCCAAATGTTGGTTTCGGATACCGGTATAAACTCGTCGTCGGAAATCCTCGTTAAAGTCGTTGGACCAGATGGGCAAACATTTACCGCTTATTTTCCTGAAGATACTCTCATAGAGGAAGTAAAAAATCGAGCAATAGATTTCTTCTATCCGAATGGAGAGAATGGATCAAGCCGGTATAAAATGGTCCGAGTTGTAGATACGTCCACTTTGCACGATTTCCTCACAGTTGGCCAAGAACAAATAGTCATGGAAGAAGAGTTACTTTTGGTTGAAAGAAGGATACCTGATTCCGGAACACTTTGGGATCTTGGTACTGTTCGGGCACCGCTGCAAGGGACTATTGCTGCTGCTACTGCATCCTTACCGACTCCGCAAAATACAATTAGACAGCCCAATCTTCAATCCTTGTTGTCTACCAATGAATTGTCCTACGAATTGAAGAAAATTCTCATATCTCTCATAGAAGCAGGAGCAAGATTAGCGGCTTCAGGGAGAAACTATGAAATGGCGCTGGCGCAGCTATCTGCAGCGTTGGAAGAACCTCGTATACACCAACGTCCGATTATAGAGGTAATTACACCTGAAGAAATCGAAGCACGATTAAAGAGCAGCGAGTGGGATCCTGGTGCAGCAACAACAACGACAAATTCCAATGGAGATAAGTTATATAGACGCGCGGAGCATTTGCAAAGATTCTTGGAGAAATTTCGCGCCTGGCGTATAAAGATAGCGGAACCTCCCAACCAAGAAGCGTTAACAACATTGAAAGACCTTGGGTTTAAGGAAGAAGACGCCGAAAAAGCCTTAAGGAATACTGGTAGCAACGTCCCAGCTGCTGCATCTTGGTTGATAGGCGAAAGGGGATCCAGTGTCTTCGAGCTCATAAACGGTTTACCTGATGGGTTGATTTTGCAGACTTTACTGAAGCAACCCCAGATCCAAAGAGGTCTTCTGAACACGCGAATGTTAATCGCTTTCATAGCTATGGTTGGACAAACCGGTAGTGCGTCATTGTGGCTTAATTCTCCCCATGGAAGTCCACTGCTGTCACAAATTTCGAGAACCTACCACTCTGAGAAGTACTGCCTTGCAGTAAATCAGTTTTCTGAGGAAAGACGTGAACAAACTACGACTCCTTCGACGTCTAGACAACGGAATTAACGATTTTTGATTGTAGTATATTTTTGATGACATTTGAAATATATGTTTGTTGTACCTCTAGTAGTATTGTCGCTGAATTATTTTTCTTTGTGTAGAGTAGGTGTTGCGGACCGGCTACTGGACGGGGCAGATATAAATCGTTTTAGTTATTTTCTATTTTCCTGTTACTCATTGTTTATGTACATTTTTTGCCTATGGTGCGTTCGTTTTTGTTTAGCTAATTTTTCTCTAAATTATAATTTTATTTTGCTTTACTTTAAGAGCTCTCATGCCAAAAAAGTTTTGGCGTTGGCTCCGCCCAAATTTGTGAAAT